TTCAAGAACTCTCTTACCACAAATGGTAAAGGGATTGGACAACTGATGAGAAGGAGCTTATAGAGGTCCCCTTTATTGGCAATGGGTAAAGGACTCAGTTACATAACCCAAACTAACATCTGGGTTACAGTCCTGGGTGGCAGTCCAAGGGTGAAGAAAAGCACTAGCACACCAGAACTTACAACTGAAGAAGAGCAGGGACCCCTGGTCAAAGTTTCAGGGCAGAAAAGAATGCTTGTGGCTGCTCACAGACCAGAGCACAGGCCAGGAGAGTAGTGAACACACCTCCCCTTAGATCACATCACCTTGAAAGAAATGAAAGCTTACAGACCTCTGGAACTAGCTCTGAAAACTTAGCTGCCAAGAAAAAACAAAAATAAAACAGAAACTTGGGACCGTGTTCCCTCTACCCCAGCAGCAGAGCCCAACTTTAACATAAAATTAAAAGTCAAGAAGTAGGCTGGAAAAAATGAGAAAACAACAAAAAAAGATCCTGACCATCTGACAAAAACTGCTAGGAAAACTGGAAAGCAGTATGGGAAAAACTAAGTATAGACCAACATCTTACACCATATAGCAAGATAAGGTCAAAATGAGTACATGATTTAGATATAAAAGGTGATACAATAAGAAAATTAGGAGAGCAAGGAATAGTTTACCTCTCAGGTCTATGGAGAAGGAAAGAATTTATGACCAAATAAGAGACAAAGTATTATGAGATATAAAATGATAAATTTGATTATATTAAATTTAAAAGTTTCTGCACAAACAAAACCAATGTAAACAAGATTGGAAGGAAAGCAGAAAGCTGGGAAACAATTTTTATAGCAAATGTCTCTGATAAAGGCCTCATTTCTCAAATATATAGAGAATCTAGTCAAATTTATAGGAATACAAGTCATTCCCCAATTGATAAATGGTCAAAGGATAAAGAGGCATCTGCTTCCGGGAGCCAAGATGGCAGAGTGAAAAGGTAGTCGCTCTCACTCTCCCCTATCAACCTCTGAAAACCCAGAAAATATCAGCCCAGAAAAAAAAAAAACCCTGGAACACCTGAACTAGAAGAAAGACAAGGAGCAGCAGTGCAGTAGCCCAGCAAACGGGTCTCCCAGTGCCTCAGCAAAAACAAGGGGCCCCAGGCAGATAAGTACCCTGCGGCATTCATCTGAAAGGAGGTGAAGAAAACAACCTAAAGGCTTCCTAAAGCCCCGACCTTGCTGATTCCAACCCAACACCAGGTGAGCTGTAGGAGCCCTGAAGCCTCTAATTGTGAAGAAATCCTGAAGCCCAGGTGGTAGAGCAGGCAAACACCAACACCTGGATCTCTGAATGCCTCAGTGAGGGTGGGGGCAACCAGTGGAAACCAGCTCAGAAAACCACCAGGAGTCCCCAAAATCCACCGCAAAGGAATCTCCCAGTGCATTAGCAGAAACGAGGGAGACAACACTGCAGGGGGCCCCAGGCAGATAAACATCCTGCAGCACCCATCTAAAAGGAGCTGAAGAAAGCTAAAGGAAAGGAAAAGCAGGCAACCTAGAATTGCCTGAAAGTTCCAGCCTTGCTGATTCCAGCCCAACACCAGGTAAGCTGCCAGAAACCTACAGCTTCCAATTCCCAGCATAAGAGGCCCCAGAACACAAAGCCAGTGACCAAGACCTAGGCTCCCAACACAAGAAGCTTGGGTCAGTACCCTCTGTTCCCCAGCAGGAGAGCTCAATCTCTTTAAAGGCCAGGGAATAAAGAAACACCATGAGTAAAAAGAAATGTACCATAGATTCATATTATGAGAAGAGTGAAGATCAAGACAGAAATTCTGAAGAGGACAACATTGTCAACAAACCCACATCTGCAACAACAAAAGGGAATATGAACTGGTCTGAAGCCCAAAAAGCCTTCTTAGAAGAGCTCAAGAAGGATTGTAATAGTCAAATGAGAGAGGTAAAGAGTCCTTCAAAAATACAATTGGCCAATTGGAAAAAAAATACACTGAAGAAAACAAGTCCCTAAAAAACACAATTGGCCAGTTGAAGAAGGAAGTACAAAAACTAACAGAAGAAAACAATCTGTTAAAAACTAGAATTGGACAAATGGAAACTAATGTCTCTATGAGAGAGCAAGAATCAGTCAAACAGAAACAAAAAAATGAAAAAATAGATGAAAATGTAAAATACCTCATCAGTAAAACAACCGACCTGGAAAATCGACTCAGGAGAGACAATTTAAAAATTATTGGACTACCTGAAAATCATGATGAAAAAAAGAGCCTGGACAGTATCTTTCAGGAAATCATAAAGGAAAACTGCCCAGAAGTCCTAGAACCAGAAGGGAAAATAACCATAGAAAGAATCCACCGATCACCACCTGAAAGAGATCCCAAATTGACAACGCCAAGAAATATAATAGCAAAATTCCAAAATTACCAGATGAAAGAGAAGGTGCTGCAAGCAGCCAGAAAGAAAGAATTTAAATATCATGGAACCACAGTCAGGATTACACAGGACCTTGCAGCTTCTACATTAAAAGACGCAGGGCATGGAACATGATATTCCATAAGGCAAAGGAGCTTGGAATGCAGCCAAGGATCAATTACCCAGCAAAAATGAGCATCATTTTTCAAGGGAGGAGGTGGATATTCAACGAAATAGGAGACTTCCAAACTTTCCTGATAAAAAGACCAGAGCTCAACAAAAAATTTGATCTTCAAGTACAGGACTCAAGAAGGACTTAAAAAGGTAAATGGGACAGAAGGATACAATATGTTGTTAATAAGGGGGGGGCTGTTTAAACCCCTACAAGGGAATATGAGACTTGCAACCCTTGAGAACTGTATTGTTATTACACCTTGTTAAAGGAGTATACATAAAGAGGGTGGATATTAGTTGACTTTGATGTAATGATAAAAAAAAATCTAATCAAGTGGGTTAAATGGATCCAAATAAGTGGATCAATCTGATCTTAGAAAAGGTACTGAGAAAGGAGGAGGCAGACAAGGGTAAATTACATTACAGGAAAAGACACAAAATCCTATTATGGGGGGGGAGTATTGTTTGAACCTTACTCTCATCAGATTAGGCTCAAGAAGGGCATAATATAATCAGTTAGGTATAGAAATCTAACTTGCCCTATAGGCAGTAGGAGGGAAAAGGGGAAAGAAAAGGGAGGGGGGAAAGAAGGGAGGGAAGCAGCAGTAAGACTAAAGGGGAAGAAAAGGGAAAGGGATAATAAAAGGGGGAAGGGACTGAAGGAGGCGGTGGTCAAAAGCAAAACACTAGTGAAGGGGAGATGTAAATGTAAAGCCTATATCAGATTGTGTGCAATCTTGGGAGGGTGGGGGGGAGGAAAAGGGAGAAAAATTTTCAACTCAAAAGCATAGAAAAAATTAAAAAAATTTAAATAAAAAAGGATAAAGAGGCAGTTTTCAAATGGAGAAATCAAAGCTATCAATATCAACATATAGTAGAAATGCTCTAAATCACTTATAATTTTTTTTTGTTGAGGCAACTGGGTTTAAGTGACTTACCCAGGGTCACACAGCTAGTGTCAACTGTCTGAGGCCAGATTTGAACTCAGGTCCCCCTGACTCCAGGGCTGGTGCTCTATCCACTGCACCACCTACCTGCCCCTCTAAATCACTACTGATTAGAGAAATATAGATTAAAACAACTCTGAGGCACCCACTCACACCTATCAGATTGGTTAATATATCAGAAAAGGAAAATGATAAATGTTGGAGAGGTTGTGGGAAAATTGGGACACTAATGCACTAGAGTGCATGGTAAAATTGTGAACTGATCCAATCATTCTGAAGAAGAATTATGAACTATGCCCAAAGGGCAATGAAACTATGCATACCCTTAGAATCAGTAATACCACTACTAGGTCTGTATCCCAAAAAGATTAAAAAAAAAAAAGGAAAAGACCTTTTTACAAATTACAAACTTACGAAAATTTACAAAATTACAAAAATAGTTACAGAAGTTCTTTTTGTGGTGGCAAAGAGTCGGAAATTGAAGAGATGCCCATAAATTGTGGAATGGCTCACCAAGTTGTTGTAGAATACTATTGTGCTATAAGAAATGACAATCAGGATGTTCTCAGAAAAACCTGGAAAGACTTACATGGACTGATGCAAAATGAAATGAGCAGAACCAGGAGAAAAGTGTACACAGTAACAGCAATACTGCACAACGATCATTTGTAAATGACTTAGCTATTCTCAGCAATACAATGATCCAAGACAATTCCCAAGTTCTTAATCTGAAAAATGCTATCCAGATCCAGGGAAAGAACTGATGGAATGAATGCAATTCAAAGCATACTTTTTTTTACTTTATTTTTTGGGGTGTTGTGGTTTTTTAGGTCTATGTTTTCTTTCACACTATGACTAATTTGGAAATATGTTTTGTGTGACATGTATAACCTACATCAAATTGCTTGCCTTCTCAATGAGGAGGGAGGTGAGGAAGGGAGAGAAAGAATTTTGAACTCAAAGTTTTAAGCAACAAATGCTGAAAAATGTTTTTACATGTAATTGAGGAGGGGAATAAAATATTAAATAAAAAAGGACAATAATGTTATTGGATGTTTGATCAGTCAAAACATTACTAGATTTCAATCTTCTCTTCAGGACCTCATTACTAAAAAGGCATAAAAAAACTGCAAAAACTCACAAAATGATTACTTGTTTAGATACTATAATGTACAGGGAAAAGTTGCAAAAGCAGGTGTTATTTAGTTTAGTGAAAAGGAGGTTAAAGGGTAGACCTAAATAATAGCGACCAAAAAGTCTTTGTTTCCCTTCAGAAAAAGAACTCGTACATGAAGAATATAGATTAAATATAGGGAGGAATTTACTCTCAAGGAATGGCCTGCCTAGAAACACAGAAAAGGAAGGGGATTGTATATGTGTGCATGCATGCATGTGTGTGTATATGTACATATGTATATATCTCCTCCTGCAAATATATTCAAGGATCTAGAAAGCAAAACAAAAAACCTACCAAATAGACAATATGCAGGTCATTCTCTAAAACAAAGCTTTTCATAGCTCTCTGAAGGTCGGCAAATATATCCAGGGCCTCAGATGGAGAAAGAGATGAAGAAAGAGTGGCTGAACCAAGGTGGGTAGGATGATATACTTTTTCTAAAAGAAAAGCAAATATTAAATTCAAAAGATGAAGTATTTTCTATTCTAGAAAGAATCAAAAAACTGTAAGCGTATCTTGCAGATTCTAATAGAAACATAATTGGCTTTTTTCTTCCATTTTTGGATACCATAAATTCTTGTCAAGCAGACATTCATCCACTTTTGGACTATTCTGAGCAAAAAAAAAATATTCATGAAGTCACAAGGTGATATGAAAAAATATTAACGTTAAACAAAGTATTTACAAGTAATTATCAACAAAGTCTCAACCAGGACTTTTTGTGAAGAAGAAACAAAAAAAGCCCAAACTGAAACCTATATGAATGTACTGAACTGGCCACAAAGTGTTAAATCGGCATAGAGGCTCAATTTATATGCAGTTCTAAGAAAAGCACAAAAAGTAATTGGTAATATTCAAATTGCAAACATAGTCTACAGCTAACATCTGAGGTCTCTTTCAAATCTAAGAGCCTAAAATCCTCAAAATCTAAAATATACCTTCTGGTTATTCTTATTTTCACTTTCCTAATATTTTATGATTAAGAAGAGCAACAAATCAGCATGCAAATAGTTCCTATTGCTGTCTTCTGATTTGGTGACTCTTTTCCAGGAACACCCCAAGAGGAGCTAGTTCTGAGCCACCTCGAGTTTTCACTGGACCAATGAGAACTGGTTGTGTTATACACAAACAAATGAACACATCAGAGCAATATGGATAGTGCTGAGCCACAGGACAGATAACCTCTCAATTATATCAGCTCCCTTCATAACAATTTTTCAGTCTTCAATTGAAGATAAGTTCACTATATTTGCTTTTCTCCCATGTTTGTTTCTCTAATAAGAGTTTACAAAATTCAGCAATAGGGACAGGAAATTGCCAGTTATTAATATGTAAAGAAAAAAGCAAATTATTTAAGGCTTGGCTTTTCAATATCATAGGGGGAAAAACTAAAGAAAGCTTTTCATTGTCCAGAAACCATAAGCTTTAATTATATGTTTTGCTATTTGATATTTTCATTTGTCCCTTGACAATCCAATTTCCACTTAATTTCTAAGTAACCATGCAGAAGATAAGCAAGTTGACAAAAATGGAAATGTCATTTTTACCTTTTATTTCAACATTAGCTTCTGAAATCTGAATGAATTCATTCTCTAGTAGCCACATCACACAGTCTTCAATTGCTCCACGCTCTTCCTGTTGGGTTTTCTGCTTTTCCCCTTTCACACTTTTCTGGTTTTCCATTCTCAGACTCGCAGCCAAAAAAGTACAAGAAGCATAATTCTGTACATCTTTTGGTGTATTGGCAACTCCACCAACTATTATCTAGTAAGTAGAAAAAATTATAACTTATCATAAAGTAAAAAGATAATTGACACAAAAAAATAAAAGAAACAAATAAATTCATTTTGCCAAAAACTCTTCAGGATTTGGTTGTCAAAACTAGCAGCATTATTCTCATTCCAACTGACAATTTGAAAAAATGGAAAATTTCTTTAAAGTAGAAAACTGGCTGGCTCTTTTTTTCCTATCCAAAAACAAATAGATACCACCTGAATGAAAGAATTTATAAAATTCTGGTACTAGCAAAACATATTAAAGTTGGGATTGCTGTCCTAAATTTTAAAGATGATAACTGACTAATCAAATTAATTATCTCATTTTTTTCTTTTGAAATTTATAATACATTGCTCTTCACAGCTTACATAATCTGATCTTTTGTCTAAAGAGAAGAAAGAAGTCAATTCAGAGAGAGATTAGGGCCACTTGATTCTAATACTCAGTCTTTTGGGGGCCATGTTGCATCACATTTTTATAATTACAGTTTGAAACAGATAAATACAACACTAGCTATTCTAAGCTTTAGGGGAGCGCTATCCAAAGTCAGAAAAAAACCTAGATAATTGAAAAGTCCATCTATATATTATTTTTCTAAATAAATACATAAAATGAAAACTTTTACTTCTTTAAGTTCCTTTGTTTTATTGTAGGGCAAAAGAAAAAGTGGTGTCCTGGTCTGCTCTCCCTTACCTCCAGGATAGCTCGTATCATACTGGCAGTCATCTCCCCTTCCTCTCTTCTTTGCAGGCTGCTGCACACAGGTTTGAGTGACCCCTGAAGGAGACCAATGCCTTTTGATTTCTCTGACTTCTTGCAGACTAAGATACTCTCACCTACAAACAATGCAAATGTGTCAGATCCTACTCTTATTTCTATAAAACAGCCAATTTGAATTTTCATTTGCTATTTAATATTTAGTTATCTTTTTCTTCTCTTACTAACTCCCTTTATCATATTCTCTGACATTAGACAACCTCTCTCCCACTTTACTAAAAAGACTGAGGCCTCTAGAGATCTTCTTCATCTCTCCTACCATCCTCTACTCATTCCTTTCAGTTTAAGAGAAAGAAACTCTCCTTCTTGCCAAAGTTAAGCCCTTCATTTGTGGCCTCAGTCCCCACCTTCCCTCCTCCTTCACCTCTCTCATCTTCAACCTCTCATACTCTGCCTAGATCTTCTGTATTCTAAAAATACCCACCTCTGACTCTGCTATATCTACCCGTCCTCTCTCTTTTCTTCTTTGCTGCCAATCATTTAGGAAGAATAGGAGCCTACACTTGCTACCACTACTGCCTCCATCTTAGACCCCCTGCAATTTGTCTTGTATCACCAATGTTCTACTGAAACTGTTCTGGTAACCAATGGCCTTATTTTCAAGTCCAATAGCCTCTTCTCAGTCCTCATCCTCCTTGACCTTTCTGTAATATGGGAAGCAGGTGGTACTGCTGATCACCATCTCCTCCAGGATACACAATGTTCTCTGGATTTTCATGATACTGCTTTTCTTTTTGGTTTTTTTTCCTGTCTGACAATTCCTCAGTCTCCTTTGCTGGATCATCAGCTGGGGATCATATCCTCTTACTGTGGGTGTAATCCCAAGATTCTCTCTCTTTTCTCTAGATATATTTTCTAGACATTAAACCCATGTAGCTTCCATAGATTTAATCATTATCTCTAAACTGATTTCAGAGATAGATATAGATATAGATATAGATATAGATATAGATATAGATATAGATATAGATATAGATATAGATATAGATATAGATATAGATATAGATATAGATATAGATATTCAGCTCTGGTCTTTCTCCTGCGCTCCAGGCCTCCCCTCCCCATGCAATCAACATAAGTCTAGTGGACATTTAAAACTGGATGTCCTGGAGATATCTCAAGTTCAACATTTCCAAAATTGAACTCATCATTTCCCCTAAGCCTACCTCTCTTCCAAGCTTCCCCCGATTTGCTGAGGGTAACCACTATCCGTCTAGTCACCAGGTTCACAACAATGCTGTACTCCCCATGCTCACCCCACAAATCCACTCAGATGACAAATCTTGTTATTTCTACATTCAAATCTCTTAAATTTGCCCCTTTCTCTCCACTCACACAGCCACCACCCTAGTTCACACCCTTTCAAATTCTCATCTAAACCATTGCAATAGCCTCTTAATTGGTCTCCCTGCCTCATGCCTCTCCTCACTCAATCTATCCTCCAAACTTTTATCAAAGTGATTTTACCAAAATGCAAATCTGACCATGTCACTTCCCTATTCAGTAAACTCCAGCAGCTCCCTATTACCTCTAGAACAAATATAACTTCTTCTGGTTGACATTTAATACCCTTCAGAAGTAGGCCCCAAACCACCTTTCTCATCTTATTACAGTGAACTAGATAGTACAGCAGATCTGGATTTAGTCTGGAATACCTGAGTTCAAATCCTCCCTCAGATGATTAACTAGCTGTGTAACACTCTGTCAATCTTTATTTTCTCATTTACAAAATGGGGGTAATAAAAGCACCTACCTCACAAAGTTCTTGAAGATCATGATATATGTAAGACACTTTGCAAAGCTAAGCTATAAGTTAACGATAAACTCTTACCATTAAACATTACTCCTCTTCGTGCAAACAGACCTTTCTCTTTTTTCTGTGCTCCTCACACACAGTACTTCATGGCCCTGTGTCTCTCCGCTAGCCATTCACTGTTCTTCCTCACCTGTCTCTTAGAATTCCTCACTTCCTTTAAGACTCAGCTTGAGCCACCTTCAAAATGAAGTCTTTCCTGATCCCTTTCCTTATCTAACTGCTAATGCCTTCCCCCCCACAAAATTACATTAAATCTATTTTCTATCTATATGTGGATGCGTCTGCCCTGATAGAATGTAAGATCCTTAAAGGCAGGGACTGTTTCACTTCCATCTATCAGGAACACCTACCACAATACTCGTTGATTCACTATGTCACACTGAGGGACATATCCTCAATGAAAATGTTATTAAATGTCTAGATATCTCAAAAGATCAGTTTGTCCTCTTCTGTCATGTTTCACCACTAACAGGAGCTTCCTTGCTTCTCCAACCCCCTGCCCTGGCCCCAGGACATTCTATAACCAATGCAAGGGTTCTAGCCAGGTGGAAGAAAGATCAACTACCACCAATACATTCTCCATGCTTGCTGCTTGACTGTTCACATGGCTTAAATGATATGGGAGTCAACAGCTCTCTTCTTTGCAGTGATACTAAGAACCACTACACTTCACCACATGCTCTGCCACTCCCTTCTAGTGTCCCCCAGGCTACACAATCCACCCTAGATCTATGCCCTGAGGTCCTGGCACTGTCATCAGACCTCTTTATATAACCTACATAATCCTGGGCCTTGCCATCTACCCAAATGCAGCACCCTTAGGCCTTCTGGTCTTTTCATCAGCTAGAATTTTTCTTTATGTGTTGTTTTCCTCAATGAGAGAAAGCTCCTGGAGAAAAGGAATTTTTTCTCTCTGTATGCTAAATGGTTAGCCAAATGTATTCTCTGACTGCATTTTGGTATTCCTGCACTATGGTCAACCATGCCCCACAAAATCCCAATGAAATGATTAAAGTGCAAAGGACAATGAAGGCTCTATGAAATAACTTCCTAACTGAAGTAACTTCCTAAAAACTGACAAAACATAGAACTTTGGCCTCCTGGTAGTATTAAACGTCAGTCAACCAAGCAGCCTCCACAGCAAAATAGAAGATATATTCCCCAAAAAATCAAGAGGTAGCTATCACATGAACTGGATTTGGTACTGACTTTTACTACAATACTATAAAGCTACACACCCTCTAAGTAAGCAGGAAACCCCAGAAAACTTCTTCCCCATTTCCTCTCTCTCTTAGAGTCCATTCACGTTTCCATTTCTAGTATTGGAATTTTAGGAATTCATTGAAATTATCTGAGTATTTCTGAAAATAGTTTCTGAGAGCCTTTAATGGAATTCTGTCACTGACAACAGAAACTAAAGTCGAAAGAGTAGAATCCAATAAACTTTGTATTTACTTATGCAGGCACATGTTGTTTCTCCTCAACAGAATATGGGGAGGAAGAATATAGTTGAAGAAGTGTTACAGGTCTGAACTTCAATCAATCAATGAACAAGCATTTATGATACACCCACTATGTGCCAGGTATCATACTAGCTGCCAAAGATACGAATACAATGAATTAAACAATCCTTACTCACAAGGAGCTTGCATCCTAATAGAACTCAACACTCACCGATAAAAAATATCTATTTAACAACATGAACATCAGAGACACAGTGGAATGAAGTGACCATGCCACCCTGGAGTTCCAAATATCAAAGAAAGAAAAGAACAGGTCCTTAGACAGGTCCACCAGTTGTAGGAATAAATATAATGTTAATAACAGCAAAAAAATAACAAGGCACAACTCACTCAATTCTCTCTGTCTCTCTCTTTTACAAACACACACACACACACACACACACACACACACACACAGAAAATGGTTTTCAAAATGATGAACATATAGTAAGAGAATACCTAGCCATATAAATGACTTAGGCTGAAGGTATAGATTAATCACATTCCAGAATACTGAAGGAACTTCAGATATATCTTAGAGCCATTTAGAAGTAATAATGAAGAAATCATAGCAATTAAGAGCAGTTACAGAAAACTGGAGATAGGTAAATGTCCCAATTTTTTTATACAGGGAAAAGGGTCGATTCCATGGTAAGTTTGACAAGCATTAACACTCTATCACATGAATATAATGATGTTCAGGAGGATTTAAGGGCTAAAAGAAAAACAGGGCAGATTCTTTTGGCCCTTATTGTTATTATGAAATGGTCCTGAAAGCCTGACTTCATATGCTAGATGTGTTAACATCTAGAATCTAAGTTAATTAATATTAGAATTAAAGAAAAGTATACTTTTGTGTTTTTTGAAGGTCTCTGTACAGTGGTTGACTGAAATAGAATACTGTCAGAAGTGTAGTACCAGGGGCAAAAAAATGTAGAAGAAAAAGATAATATAAGCTTATAAATCCAATGCCTCCCAGGATCAGTTGGGTATTTTCTTGGTGCACTCATTTTGTGATGGTATCTTTTTTTTATGTATCAGTAGCACAGTGTGACAAAACAACCAATAACCAAAACAACTAATTTTGCTCCCAAATTTGGGGGTGGGGGGGTTTTCCCCCATCAATGAAGCTATAATAAGAAGTTGTCAAGTAGGAAATAGTTTTGCATCAAATATCTGTGATTAAAGTGATTGAAGATATATATGGAACTGATACAAGCATTATTTCTAAAAGTCATTCTTCAATATCTAAGTGGTCAAAAAATACAGTTTTAAAGAAAATTATAATCAACAATTTTTTAAAAGCTACATATCATTAGTCATAAAAGAATGTTACTACAGCTCTGATTTAACCTCATACACGACAAACTGGAAGAGATGATAAAACATGGAAATAAACAGTGAAGGAGGAACTGTGAAAAGAGAAGTACAACCAATATACTCTTGGCAGAACTGCATATTGTTCTGGAAAACAATTCCAGATCATGTGAGCAAAATTCCTATGACTATTAGGTGTACAACTATTCTCCTATACCCATGAGAGAAAGAAGGGTCCTATGTATAACAAAATTCATAGCAGTCCTTTAGTGGTAGTAAAAAAAAAAGGGGGGGAATCGAGTAGGTACCCACTGTTTGGGGAAAGGCTGAACAAAATATGATATATGGATGTAATGTAGTATTTATTATACCATAAAAACCAATGAATATGAAAAATCCAAAGAGGCATGAGAAAACTTATATGAAGTAATGCATAGTAAAGAAAACAGAACCAAGAGAATATACAGTGACCACAATAACATAAGCAATGAAAGCAATGTTTAAAAAATCAGAACTGAAGTATTTCACAAGGAACAATGGCTCCAGAGAATCAGTGACAGAAAAAATACATTGCCCTCCTCTCAGTATAAGGATGACACAAAAGTATCACGTACAAAATTTTGCATAAACTGTCAGATTTGGAACAGTTTTCCTTAATTGTTTTTCTTTATTATAAAAGAAAAACTTATTTGGGGGAAGAAAAGGAGGGGTGGGGGGGGAAGACATAGAAGAAAAAATGTTATTGGAAACCAATATTCAGAACACTCAACTGCATCTATAATTACATCTATTTTGAGGCTTACTTCAACAGCTGAGACTGCAATGCATCCATGCCTAGTTATCCTATGTGATACATCCTCCCATAAATTCACTACAGATATAGAGAGGCCAACCAGTGAGCTAGCAGCCTTCCTCACTTTCTCCTAACATTACAAATATAGTAGTGAAGCACTCAAGATGTGCAGCTGTTTTCCCTTAATCTTGTCATGTGATCAGTCCATTTCCTTTTTCATACATTTGCCTAATGATATCCTTTACTCTGATTTTTCATCAAAGTTTTTATATGTGGCAGTCTGCTCACCCCCACCATGCATCGCTCTATTCTCTTCTAAGAGAAACACATTTTTAATTCCTCAGAAAGAATATTGGCATTAAAAAAACAGATCTTATTTCTGGAAGAAATTGGGAGTAACTAGGTGGCACAATGGATAGAGTACCAGACCTAGAATCAAGAAGACTTATCTTTCTGAGTTCAAATCTGGCGTCAGACACTTACAAGCTGTGTGACCTTGGGCAAGTCACTTAATCCTGAATGCCTCAGTTCCTTATCTGCAAAATGAGCTGGAGAAGGAAATGGCAACCCACTCCAGTATCTTGACAAGAAAACCCCAAATGGGGTCACGAAGAGTTGGACAAAACTGAAACGACTGAACAACAACAACAAAAGAGCTTTGTAAGAGACAAAAAGGACCTATATACACAAAAATATTAATAACGGCTCTTTTTGGAGTGGCAAAGAAGTAAAAATTAAGGGAGTTCCCATTAAAATGAGGAATGGTTGACGTGACACATGAATGTAATGGAAAAGATTGGGGAAATTATCTCACATAATCATGATGCTCAAGTAGAATCTATACTTCCACTTCACTGTCATCTGAATTGATTAAAGGAAGAATATACACATACACACACACATAGAGATGCACTGAACTAGGTACAGAAATACATTTCATTTGACAGGGAAACTGGAGGGGAAGGAAGATTTAGAGGGAGGGTAGATTAATGAAGAGATTAGTCCTAAGCAAAACAAAGTCTAAGGCTGTATAAAAATATTTATAGCTCTTCTGAGGTAGCAAAGACAATCTGAAGGGGTACACACAAATCGGAGAATGAACAAGTTATGGTATATAAATAACGATGGATTACTATTGTGCTGTAAGAAATGATGAAGTTTGTATGACCTGACGCCAAATGAAGTAAATAGAAGCAGGAAAACACTTACACAATGACAGCAAAATGACAGGCAAACTTTGAAAGGATTAGGAACTAACTCTTACTAGCATGAGGATCAACTACAATTCCAGAGGACTAGTGATAAGAGGTAAAGGACTGAGAGTGAAAAATGAGACAATTTTTTACATGAATATTTGTTTTGATTGATTTTACATGTTTATGACAAAGTTTGTTTTTCTTTCATTCTCAAGTAGAAAAAGGGGGTTTGGAGGAGAAGGGTGAGAGGGCTAATTTTTGCTGATTGACAAAAATGAAATATAATTTTTTTAAAGCAGATACTTTGTTAGAACAGAACATTATGTCCTACTGAATCAAATGTTCTTTTATAATCAACAAACAATAAAAACACTGTGATTTTGTATTCACTACATCTTTCAATAAATTGCATCATAACAAAAATGTGGTCTACAGTGGAATGTTGCTAGTGGAAGATTTCTGTTAAAAATGATGATGTGAAAGGTTATAGTCAAGCCAAACTTCACTAAGAAAATCCCCAAAGATTTTTAAAGGGCAACATATGAAAAAATGACCAACAAAACCAAAGCGAAACATCAACAAGCTCCTCCATCCAGTCTCAAAGGAGAAAAAATGATTCTACCACAAAGATTCTAAGAGTAGATGAAAAAAAGGAGAAAAAAAAATTAAATTGGAAATCCTGAAGAAAAAAACTGGAAAGAGAAACGAAAAAAAAACTCAGAATAGAAAGTATAAAACCCTACACTAGTATACTAGCTAAAAAAAAAGAATGGAGCAAAGAATACTCAACGACTCAGACAACAAGAATTATTAGAACAAAGTCAAAAGACTGAAAAATTAGAAAAATATGCATGTGTGGTAATTACTATCAAAAGCTGACCTGCAAAACAGGTCAAGGAGAGATAATTCAGGAATTCCTGAAAATCATGACTAAACAAAAACTTGGATACAATATTTCAAGAAGTCATAAAAGAAAACTGCCTATATCTACTAGAAACCTGCCTTCTGAAAGAAACTCCAAAATGAAAACACTAAGGAATATAATAACAATAATCCAGAGGTTCCAAGTCAAAGAAAAAATATTGTAAGCCACCAGAAAGAAATATTGCATATTTAAAGAAACCATAGTCAGGATCACACAAATTATGTTGCAAATATGAAAAGGAAAAAATAATCTTTGGAATATGACATCCAAAAAAGGCAAAACAATATCATTTGTAAAAGCCTGTCTGCTCCCTTTTAAAATTTTCATTGAGGATGGCTTTGCTTTTAAATAGAGGTAGATAGATTTATAGATCAGAAGATGTCTGGTCTCCTTTTTTAAAAATAAAGCCTGAGATTTTTCTGTAGCATTAATATCTTCCATTTTCTTCAGAAAACTTCTGATTTTGTTTTGCATGACTTCAGATTTGTGACAGATTTTGTTATTTCCCATGGGTAGAGAAGGCTAGGGGGAGGGAAAGAATCTGGAACTGAAAATAAAATTGAATAGAAAAAAAATTAAAAATATGAAAATTTCTGACTGATTCTTCAATGTCCTCATAACTGTGTCCCTCCAACAAGAATCTATTTTATGTACAATTAGTATAATCCAGCTACTTTTTTTGTCATTTTCTTTAGTAACATTCCTACCTTTTATAAAAGGTACTTGTACAGAGTAGGCTCTTAATAAATGCTTACTGACTTTTATATGAGAACATCTGGTGTGAGAGATGATCTCTCAGAAGTGAAGCCTCCTCAAAGGGTCATTAGTTCTTGTTAATGGTTCTGGTATTGTTGCTTTTGAGTGGTACATGTGTACTAACGCTAAGTGAAGACCCCTCAGAATACAAGACCCCCTCCCCTACTCTTAGATAGTGTTAGCAGAAATTCCTGAGCCATAAGAGCATCCTGTCTATCTCATCCTCTAGCCAGTTATATGACCTTGGGTAAAAGACTGATGAAGCTATGAGGCCCTGAAAATGAGAACATGCTAACATAATTTCTACACCTCTTTGTTCTCTCTGTTACTGGGGTAGTTTTTACATGAATAGATTATACACCTGAGGCTCAACCAATGAGCCAACAGGAACGGGGTTAGCATGGGCTGCTGCCTTAGGTCTATACAATCTTGCCTTAAACAAAGAGCACTCACACTCTTGGGGCAGCTTAGGCAGCACGGGGGTGCCCTTTCTCAAGAAAGTCAATAAAGAGATTCCTCATTTTTTGCAAACTTTAGTCAAGGCTCTGGTTTTTAATTTGGGTAGGTGGTCTCTGTCCCACATATCTGGGATTGTGAAGAGTACACACATGGTAGTTCAATTCATGGTGGAAAAAAAGTTGTGGTAAAAATATTTACTGATATTTTCCACTTTTCTTTTATGTATTTTCTCATTCTTCTACTTTCCATCCTTAAATGTCTTCAGGATAACTTTGTTGGGTCTCTTGACAAACTTTTTTTAAAGTAATTTAACCTGTTTTTCCTTGTTTCATGAGATGATACTATTTATAATCATCTATCTTTTCTCTGTAACAGTATTACAAATGAGTTTATATTTTAAAGCAATGTTATTCTTGGCTGCTATCTCTCTTCACTTGGTAAGTAAGTCAAACATCTGCACTCCAAGGCACTTTTTAGTTTTGCAAAGTGAGAATGGGGTTTAAAAAAATATATTAGATTTTTTTAAAAAAGGAAAGGGAAATTGACATAGATGAGTGATTTCTTGCATTCCATTAAATTCTTCTCCACTATTAAGATGCTTCCTCACAACAACTTCCCCAAGGCAAGAAGACACTTAGTTTTCAGTAGTTTTGAAATTCCATATTTTATATTTAGTTCAGTTAGTCATTTTCTTATTCCTTCACCTGGGGTCCATAGACCATTATGGGATCTATTTCAGAGGATTTATGAACTTGGACAGGGAAAAATTAAATCATGACTTTCACTAGCTTTTAGTTTCCTTTGTAATCCTTTGAATTTTACTATATACATTTAAAAACATCATTCTGAGGAGACCATATGCATTATTATGCATATTACCCATTACAATTAGCAACTATTTGATAGACAGTAATTTCCTAACTTAGATTGGTCATGTTCTTAGACAACATTACTATGTTCTACTTACCTACTGTGTCAACACCTTTCCTTCCTGCCCTTCCAACCATCTGCTTATAAGTGAGAATATCAAGACATTTTCCATTAAACACAGGAGTCCGAATAATCACACGGCGGGCAGGCAAATTCACTCCAGAAGAAAGTGTAGATGTTGCTGCTAAAACACGAATGAGGCCTTGACGAAATGCTCCTTCAATAATATCCCTCTCCTCAAAAGTGAGACCTGAAAAGGTAGGTTTCCATAAATGTTTAGTGAAGAACTTAAACATAGCTATAAGTACATCAAAAAAATCCTGTGATAACTACTTTAAATTTTTAGAAATGCTAAAAACTGGTAATTAAGGAATCAAAAATGGTCAACTGACTTATAAAAGAAACACAGTCTGTCGTTAGCTCCCAATATTTGTTTTGACAAACTGTTTTTATGTGATCTTGTAAACTTTTCTCCCTCCCTTAAGAAATAAATGATATGTAAAATATACATTTTAAATGAAAATGAATTATAATTTATTTCATTTTTAACTTTTAAAACATATTGTGATAATTAGCTAAATTTTGGAATGGCACAGAACAAAGAATGGCCATCAAGGCTTTAATATGAAGTCCCAAAGAATCAAAAGCACAGAAAAACTACTCCTTTAGAAGTTACCTCCTCAGCCTAACCAGCTCTAAATTCCAAGTCAGTTCATATCTTCTGATATATTAACAAATCTTACAATTATGTAGATTTTTATGTGCTGGTTTTACTTTTATTTTACAGCTGGGATGATACAATCTCTTAAACATTAAGTGTCTGGGCACTGGGTATGGCTAACTGGAAATCAAATTATATAAACATATAAAATAAATCATAAAATCAAGAAATGCTGACTTTTTAAATGAGGCTGCTTTAAGAAATCAGACTCAATTCTAATGATTTCTGATTCTGTTTGCAGGCTACCTGCATGATGAAATGCCACGCCCCACGGTACAGTTTGTTGCAGTACAGAGTCCAGTCCAGAAGGCAAGCGTTTTAACTGATCCATCACTTCCAGGAGTCCCTTTCGGTCCAATGTAACTGGGTGAAGTTCAGGTGGCTTTACCAATCCTTTTATAAAATAATTTTTAAAAGACCTTCACTAGCCATTATAAAGCAAAACCATTACTTCTCCTCCCATCCACTATTCTTATATGTAAGTGAGATATTCCTATAATCGAGTCATTTTTTCCTATGGATTGTTGTTAAATGACTATGTTCACATATTTTAATAGCTATCCTTAACCAGTAAAAATTATGGATGATCTTCTGATTATATGGTTGAGTCAGAGGTATATTCATTTGTGTGTATATGTGAGTATGTGTGAGCAAGTGTGAGTGTGTGTGTGTGTGTGTGTGTGTGTACCCAGATCTTTATCATCTCTACATAGCAAGAAATGCACCAAATAAAGTAAAACAAGAAAAAGTGGGGATAAGGGAGAAAACTTCACAAAAAAGAATAGCAGAAAAATTCAAAAAGATGAGTAAACAGAAGACAGAGCAATGAACAAATACTATAGAGTAAAACGACGCAATATAAAAATTCCCAAAAGAAATAATATTGCAGCAAAACTTCAAGAAATTATTAACTGTGGGGCAGCTAGGTGGCACAGTGAATAGAGTTCTAGCCTTGGAGTCAGGAGGACCTGAGTTCAAATCCAGCCTCAGACACTTAACACTTACTAGCTGTGTGACCCTGGGCAAGTCACTTAACCCCGATCACCTCACCAAAAAGGGAAAAAAAAGGAGAAAAGAAATAACTGAATACTCCTCCAGAACTTTCAAAATAATTTAGAAGACTAATAAAGCAATTAAAGAAAGAAATACAGATAGAAATTAGGACAGAAATTGGAGATCTCAAAGAATAATTCAAAAAACACAAATGAGAGAAAAGATATCTTTAAAAGACAGATTCTCTGAAAAAGAGATGATTAAAATTTACACTAAAAAATTATAGGCAATGCTTGTGGACCGAGGCTGGGGGGTGGGGAAACAAAGGCAAAAAAAAAAAGATCAAAATCAAAAGACAAGAAGTCAAAGTTAAAAGATCAGAAGAATACCTGAGAACTCTCTAAGTACAACATAACTGATCTTGAAGGCAGAATATGTCAAGACAAGCTGAGAATAATAAGCTTTCCAGAAAAATACACTGAAATTAAAAGTCTGAATCCAATACTTCAAGAAATCCCACAAGAAAATTCCCAGATATATTGTAAACAAAGAGCAAAAAAATGTAAATACAGAATCTAGAGAAAAGTCCAAAAATCAAGTCATTTAAACAACAAATTCTGACAAAAATGCACAAGAAGACCCTTGACATAGCAAGGAAAAGCAAGTCTTAGTTGTGCAATTCATTCATGCAAAATGCAGGAAAAGATTGGAGTATTATTTTATAGAAAAGCAAAGGAAATCAGCTTGCACCAAAAAATAATATTAAGTTGAGCTTAACTATTAATAAAAAAAAAAAGAAAACAAAGGGAATTTGAATTATTCTTACTGAACAAAGCAGGAGTAAGGCAAGGATATGACAATCAAATAATACTGATATTATAATTAGGCTATAATTATAATACACTGATAACATAATATTATTGGCTCACATTTATGTAATGCTTAATATGATAATTATATCATAAAGTATCCTAAAAGGGAGTGATAGAAAGGGTAGGAATAGAATACAGGGATGGCCGGATTAGGAATTGGATCCATTCAGTTGTTTCTGGCCTCTCTTACCTACTATTACCAAAACATTTCTTAAACTATAATCAACAAACTTGTCATAAGAAAGTAAGAATTGTTCTCAATCTGCTTTTACAAAACTTATGCAAATATTAAACAGTAGTCAACAAGACTGGTCATTAATGCTGCATAAAATGCTATTAAACATCATTTCTTAACTACAGCCTGAATCCAAGTCATCTCCTAAGAAAATGTCCAATAAACCTCTTCATTTGAAATGTGACTACAGATGAGTTGCATGGTAATCTCTTAAGCATCTCATCAATAATTCCCTGCCCCAACAAAGTGTCATAGTAAATGTATGCAAGAAATGTTATGTTCATAGAAAGTATGTTATTAATGATTTGCATTTGACAGCTAACATACTTTAAAACAGATTTCATATTTGATTTCATATAACAGATTTCTTATTTTCATATTTGGTCTACATTTGAGTCCTCACATATGACTATTACAAACTGTGTCATTATTATTATTATTATTACTATGTTTTAATAGCATTGTATGTTTTAATAGTACAAATCAGAGAAATAGCTTCCTGAAGTACATTTGAAATGCAGACTTGGTGTTGAGTTGCACAATTCTGGCAGAATTTTAGCATCATATTCCATCAAAAATCTATTTCATATGTGAAGGAGGGATGCTCTACAGAATTTTTCCACTGTAAAAATCTTGTGAAAACAATAATCTTTTGCCACAATTCTTTTCATTCTCTATATTGAATGGCAGTTTTTTAGGTGGGAAAAAGCAATTGAGAACCTATTCTTTTGTTATACATATTGAATGACAAGTTGAAAAATAATGCCCCAAATAAGAAAAAGGTTCAAACTCCTAAGTTATCCTCAGTCCCCTCCTCTTTTTCATGAGATTCCTTTCTCCCTAGCAGTGACCTGGAGAGTAGACTGGGGCCCAGCTCTAAAACTCAGTCATCCTTCCCTCTTGAGATGCATCTTTTCTGTTTTCCTATTATTTTGTGTTTTTATTGGTTCATTTGTCGTGACACAATACGTGCTTCCCAATAAATCTCTTTCAAAAGTACATTACCTGAAGAGAAAGACAAAACAATCTAATAAAATGAGACAACATATGTAAAGTTTTTTGCAAACCTTAACGCACTATATATAAATGATAACCATTAATTACTATTAACTAATAATGTGACAGACAAATAGTATATCCAATTTCCAGTTTACAGATTTGCAGTTTACAAATTTTTAAAAACTGATTTATTGTTATGACACAACAATTACTCCCCTAATAAACAATCCTCCATAGTATACCTTCTCTTTAAAAAGCAGGTAAGCAAAACTGTTTAATATAGTGATTACAACTGACAATACGTGCAAATGTTTACCTGTACAGTTAACCATTTCTTAACAGAACTGGACTGTGTTTTAACATCAAACAATGAAACTAATACTGGCTAGGCATGATCCAAATTGTTCTTTTTAGTGTTGTCTTCACTAACATTATGGTCATCATTGTGTATTTGCATGGAAAGACAGCTTCTTTACCTAAGAGGTCCTCACAAGTCCAAATGATAATCTCTGGAACATTTATAAACTCTCACACCCAGAAGAACTATGCCTGGCCTAGGGTGTGTGGCGAGTCAACACCTTTTTATAATCAGGGGTCAAGAAGACAGAGAAGACTGACATCTATTTGGAGCACAAAAGTACAGCACACAAGCCCTCAGCACCCAGTTAATTTTCACTGTCTATAACTCACCTTCTGCTTGATGCTGTAGATCATAAAACTCATGCGCTATGATATTCGCCAGCTTCTCACACCAACTCTTTGATGGACAGAAAATTAAGACTGAATAGCCATCACGAATGATTTCATAGCATAAGCTAACTATATGGTCCTCATCTCCCTAAAAAGGAAAGAATAATACCTTTCAGTTGCTCTTCTAATATAAAATACTCCCCAAAACACATCTTATTCAAGAAATTTCAAGCCAAACACCACTGTTTCATAAGCAAGGCTTCCAGTTTCTTAATGAAATTATAATAAAAAACAAACTGTTATCCGTTAAATAACTCCAAAACTTCTTGTTCTGTGGGACAGTGGGAATCTCAGAGGGCTAGTGACAGCCCAAAATGAGGAGAAACTGATGATGCTGTCCTCCTGGGGCCATCATATGAAGGGTGGAAGTTAGCCAGAGAATTGGCAGTGACCAATTGCCAGACTAAATCATGTGTCTGTTGTTTACCCCACCTAACAAATATAACTGCCTCAACCTGTTCTCCCTTCTCCATTGCCCAGGAGGAGATAAATACTTAAAACTCTTAATGATAATGGGATAAGCTTACTCTATAAGATGTACAACCACACTTATCAGAGGCAGCTAAGTGGCTTAGTGGGTAAGAGTGCTGGACCTAGAGTAAAAAAGATCTGAATTCAAATGCCACCCAGCTACTGTGTGACCCTAGGCAAGTTACTTAATGATGACTCTCAGCCTCAGTTTCCTCATCCTTAAAATGGAGATAATAGTACTGAAATTTCCACATCAACTACATCATCCAGTCCTCCATCTTAACTTTGCCTCCATCAATCTTCTTTGTGTTCTCTATGCTGATTTCCCAACAGCTGAGTATCATTATCATCTTGTCCCAAGATTCTCTAGCGATATTCTGTTCTCATAATTTGGTTTTTGACTTTTTTGTTGATTTTATTTCTTAAGTCCTTGAATGGGTCTATTATCCCTTTTACTGTATCTTTGAATTTCTTGTTTCTAATGTAACTGTAATGGTGCTTCAGTATAACTTTCTCCTGACATTTTAGACTGCATCTTTTATTACATAATATTGTATCTGAATTCTTTTTCAGTTTGATCACTGATTTTTAATCATCATGTGAGGATTTCTGACTGTTCTGTTTCTTATTATTATTTCAATTGCTATTGAGTGGGAGGCAGGGAGGCTCTTGAGAAGAGAAGATCCCATGCAAACTCTCACTCCACTTCTCCAGGAGTCTGTCTTCAGAATTTATTCATAGTAATGTTCAAAAGTAGAATAATGCCCAGAATCAAAGTTTAGTACAAAACAAAACATTAGGACCCCCTTCCCTGTCACCAACAAATCTCCCAGATACCAGACATATAAAAACACACATACAAGGGCAACTATAATACACGTTATTACACAGCAGCTGTCAAACAGTGAGAGATTAATAAATATTTCTTGATTGAATGATTACATCATGAGTATATTATAGAATAACAAAATACTATTTCACGAGTTCTGAAGGGAAAGTTACTAACAATGTGATTTTGTATTCTCTAAATTATCTAATTTTAAAATGACTAATATATTCCTATAGGTTGGGACTTATAAATTCAATGCAAGCACTACAGATGTGTATAATGTCTAGAAACAGTAAAAAAGAAAAGAATTTACCTTCACTTGAAGCATGGGTTGGAATTCCCTCACAAGCTTCATGGATGAGTCATATATTGAGCTACCAATTTTTAATGACTCCAAAAGTGGTACTGGCCGAAAGTCGGTGTGATAAAGTTCAGCATTTAACCAGGAAGCTATAAGGTCAAGATTAGGGAGCGTTGCACTCATGCCAATTATCTGAATTTCATTAGAAAAGTCACTGGTCAAATTTTCTATGCTACAAAAAACACATAAAACAAGTGGCAACAAAACAAAAGACATGTTATGACAATTAGCCATAATAAAGCTCCTAAAGTTCGTTCGTAGTATTATATCCTTAGCAGACCCTGCTGCTATCCCCCTATAATTCTGCCCGCCCAAAAAAAGTACAGTCTATCAATACACCTACTCAAAAGCCTAATATATGAACTATAAAAGAACATCACAATGGAGGGCAGGGGTTGGTATAGAAGGGTGTTTAGATTAACAAGAATGAGAGGATAAGGAAGGGATGGGGGGGGCTGATTAAGTAATTGGGAGAGCAAGGTAGTGGGTAGAAGTAAAGTAGAGGAGTCAGGATGGACAGAAAATAAGAACTACACACAAATATAAAATAAAGATCAGGGGTAGAATTTATTAGGAAAAAAAGCAGGGGTAGCAATCATGATCTCAGACAAAGTTAAAGCTAAAACAGATTTAAGCAACAGAGAAAAATAGGGAAACTACACTATGTCAGCCATATTAATCAATATGGTTTTAGATTATTTAAAATAACTAGACAGTGTAAGGTTGGAATATGGCTGTGGTGTAGGAAATGATGAGTTGGTGGGGTTAGAAAAATATGGAAAGACTTAGACTTATGAAAGAAGATGTTATCTGCCCTCAGAGAAACAGAAGACAGACAAGTACAATATGGTCTTATATGGATACATATGAATTTATATATCTATATGAGTATGATTATAGATATTTAAGTATATGTATGTGTATGTAAGTGTATCTATGTGTACACATGTTTGTCTGTATATATGTATTGTGTATGTGTATGTATTGTGTGTGTGTGCGCGCACATGTGTGCACGTGCATTTAATTGTAGCCTTCTTGAGGGAGAGAGAGGGAAGGGGGAAAGAAGAGGGAAAAAAGAACAAAGTAAAAAGTGCACAACAGAGAACAAAAGAAAACTTAGAAGGAAGCAAAGAAAAGACGGACAGCTCTGAACACAATGTGTAATACTTATCATATAGGCTTTCTTGAAATGGAAATTTATTGCTGTATATTTTGAATCCTCTCTTACATTCTGCTGTGCACATGGCAATTTTTTTATCTTTTCTTATTTTGTATTTGTTTGAATATTTAAGTTAGTTTCTTTTTCTTTTCTTATCGTATATTTAAGTTTTAGTATTTCAGTTTAAAATAAATTAATATTTTTAAAAAAGAACATCACTGATTTTCCACCAACATTTCTAAATTCACACATCTAAATGAGTGTTGTCTACTTCCAAGCAGTCACCTTGACAGGTTATATATTTATTCTAGCAATGCCTTAGAGGTTGGTAGCCTGAGCAAACTGGCTGCAAAACTCCCAAGTTTGGGGAAACAGATTAAAATGTAATAGGGAAAATTTTAATAGAATAAAATATAATGCAACTTAGATAATGTTAATTTGTGGTTTTCTATGTCAATATACAGACCAAAAGAATGTTTCTATTTGAGCAGGAGGCCAGTCTTACAGTCAACATTACTTTATAAACCATACCTCATAAAATAGCAGGTACATTATTTTTAGAGACTATGGAATATTTTTAAGGGGAAAGGACGGAAGGGAACCATTTTCAGTAGTGCTGAAGAGGTTTGGGGGTGCTAGGACCCCAAGAACAACAAAGCAGAGTCACCTGCAATGAATTCACACACTCAAGCCATCTTTCAGTCAAGAGGCAGTTTACTATAACAGCAATAGTAGCAGGCCAAGTTCCTTTGCAGAACCTGCAACCTAATGGGGTAAATGTAGAGTTTATATAGAAAAGGGGCATGGGAAAGGAATGCAAGGGATATTAATTAGGTAATCTAGGGGTCCAGATGTCTTGGGAGCAGGCATCAGTGATCTATGGATGGGAAAATGTAGAGAGTCTGTGGAGATAGCTCTGTTGATACCAGTCACTGAAGGAGTTGTCAGAGGCATGGATCTTAGGGATGTGGTGCCAAGACAATCCTTGGGCCAGCCAAGGACAAAAATCACTGGGCCAGGTACCCCTGTGTCTGTTCTGATAAGGCAATGCGTTCCCCAACAAGGAAAAATATTCTCACAGGGCAGGGGCCTACTGAGAAATTGGGAGGCCTCCACAGCCATGATCTTAAGGCTGGGGCCCAAGCACCCCATCAATGGCAAAAGAAAGAAATGGGAAATTATACTTGTGTTTACTTGGAAAGAACCAAAAGTTAGAGTCACCTGGTAAGTAAAATGAGTGCATCAAACTACATAATGTATCATTTTAGATATATTAATGATTTTGTTCTAAGTTATGAATGCCAATAACTCCAATCTGGAAAATTTCAAAAATGTTTTCAGTAAAGGCAGAATCATTGGAATAAGTACTTAGCCTCCTAAGGAGGACTTTCAAGTCCAGTGCATATTTGAAATTGCAAATTCTGGTAGGTTTATTGAAAAAAGGCAATTTGTTGTAACACTTTGTTCCACCTCATATATTAACTTGACATTAACTGTCAAGTCCTAAACAATCAAATATACTGAAACAGAAAATTGCCATCTGATCCTTCACTTTACAAAAATTATTTGCTCCAAGGTCCCCTTAATTTGCTGAGTAGCAACTTCAGTATAAGAAAAGTTTTACTAACAGCCCACTAGAAATGCATTTAAAAGGTCATTTGCAGTTTACAAATCATTACAAATCACTAAGGCAAGGTGTCAAAAATACTGCAACTATGTTAATTGCTAATGTAATTTTTTGGATTCGTGTAAGACAAATTTAGCCAATAAATTATCAATTATGCTGATTAAAAACACCTATAATGTTGGCAATAAAGAGCAGGCACACCTGATATATTTCAAAACTTTATCTTCTGGTTTAGAGGTTACAGAGAAATGGAAGTGATTTGAACTCAAAGGTGAAGTTAAAATGCTCTGGTTTTTGTCCAGTAAAATCTAGCAACCTAAAAATTCCAAAGTTCCTTTACTTTTCAGTTTGCATCCCCCTGCAACAACACTGCAATCAAATTTAAGATAGGGTATTGTGAATGTCTTCAAGATATAATTTCCTATTAAGTATAATTTAATTTATGATTTTTATTTAATTTATATGAAAATTTAATAAATTTATTTTGTATAAATTTATTTAAATGTACATTTTATTTATTTTTATATTTTACTATATTATATTATAAATTGATATAAATTAATAAATTAAAATAATTTATATGAAATTTAGACATTTACTGCACTGTTATAGCATGATACTTATATCTTAGGATCAAAATGTTTTCAACAAGAATGTTTCTCTGAAATCACAATATAAGTCAGGGGAGCATAATTCCTTTACAAAATTTTCATTTATTTTGTTATTATGTAAATAAGATATTCTAGTGAAGCTCAAAGATAAAAAAGTCAGGAACTTTAAATTTTCTTAAAAAAAAAAAAAAGAATCTCTAGTTCAATCTCACTGTCAAGGGCTCCAATATTAACTTTCTTCAATATCAAGTAAGTACAGGAAGAAGAATAAGCCATGGCCCCAGACTCAGACAATGGCATCAAATTCTACTTTGGGAGCTTTCTGCTGGGGTGATGTCCTCTGGAAAATGAAAATGCTGGAGCACATGACCCCTGGGGTGCTTTTTGCCTTTAGACCTATGATCTATACATGAGGGTTCATTAGAGAAGGAACATTTCCCATCATGTACCAGATTCCAAATGAGCAAAGTACTGCATTCATTTACTAATTCAATAACTGATGTTTCTCCAGGACAACTGAGAATCTAAAAAGGAGAATTTTCAGTCACTCACCTCGTTGCTGCTCTCTGAGACACATATCGAACCTTAGTCAACAAAAGTTCTAGTAGATATCCACGATGAGAGTCTCCCAGCATATGCAATTCATCTACAACCACCATTCCTAAAAAGATGATTTCTTCAGATAATAAGTTCTAACTCCTATAAACCTTAAAAAGGTCAAATACTGTAAATATTAGGTAGATCATTAAATTATTAGCCTAGGCATAGTAAAATTCTAAAAATGAAACCAATGAAAACAGGTTTCATGCAATAAAGTATCAGCTTTATCCTCTAATCTCTGTAATAAAGATTTTGGATAAAGTTGGCCAGCTGGGCTTTGGCAGGATTACAATGGGTTCTAAATCTGTAAGGGCCTTGATGAGCTTAACAAAAAGTTGATCAGACCTTGAAAAATTGGCTCACATTATCCAAGACTTATTTCTATCAAAATGTCGATTAAATAATTTTAAAAGGAACATAACTGTAAAAATAGCAATTATTTATATGAGCTAGCAGCATACTTGCTTCTCAATAGAATTTCCCTTTTTGCTTTCTTCTCACAAGGTTGCTTAGTAAAAAAGGAATTAGAACAAAGGAAAATGGTGGCTTTAAAGATATTTTCATTAAACTGTAGTTGCATGGTTAGTCACCCTTGCCCAAGAAATGAAAAATCTTGTGAATTTTCTTATAGGCCACACAGGGAAATCTCTCCCCTGGTCAACTCTAAAGAATGAATCTCAACAAAAGATTTATTTTTATGCTTCGAGTTTTATTTCTCAAGACCCTGAGAACCAATACCAACCTAAGCTTATTTAATTCATCCCCATTTCACATTTCCCCTATTCATATCCCTCATATAGGCATCAGTCAGCCTTATAGGAAAGAGCAGATTGGATTTGAAATCACATTATGGATTCAAATTTCAACTCCTTTCCATTTACATATGTGTGACTTTGAGTAAATACCATCTCTGGCCTTCAGTCTGTAAAAAATCTGTAAAATTAAGAGACTGAACGGCTGAGATCCCTGCCAACTTTAAAATGAAGATAAGCCTATAATTCTATACTCACAATTCCTCTAACTATATAGCAGGCATCACAAATGGTGAATTGGACCCTCAAATTCCTAAGAGCTCAGTTACGAGAAGAATCTTGTTGCAGATACGCCACAATTCTTCAGGGTACCATTACTATAAAGAAGGATAACAGCTGGAGATTAAGGTTAAATTATAAATATTACATTCCAGTTAGATTTTTCAAATTCCTGCCACGGAATGGTAGCAACATGGGGAAACACAAAAATATAAAGAAGGTTCAGATGATACAGTAAAATCTCATTATTTTGGACTGACTCCATTAATTGGGAATTTGTGAGTATTCAAACTAGACTCCTTTGAAGTCTACCTCTGAATTATTTATAAAAAGTATTGGCAAGCCAATTAATGACATCAATTATATCATATAGGTATACACTTCAGGTAACTGTTTTTAAGGAATTTTGCTACTATTACTACTAGTTTTATTCATTTATTAAGCTGGATATTGACCATTTATATTTGACATCACTTGGTTAACAGTTGAAGTATTGCAAAATAAACAGTATTTCTACAAAAACTCCAGAATTTTAACATCACTAATTCAGATTGGTTTAGTCACAGTTAATTTGAATGTGAAAACTTATTATACTTAATTCTATTCCACCTAATATTACTCAATTTAATTCAACAAATATTTATTAAGTGCCTATTACTTACAAAATACTGTACTAGGCACTAAAGCTACAAAAATGAAAAATAATAGTCCCTACCTCCAAAAAGGTAAGCCTATAATCTTATAAGAGCAAGTGATTCATGTATTATAATTATTTGTGTACAAGTTAGGAAATGACAAAGCACCCAGGCAAAGTCAAAGAGAATGACTTAAGCTTTACGAAAGAAGCAATTGCTTCTAGCTTGTGGTTAGAGGAGACAACTACTGAGGAAAGGCACCAGCGAAGAGATTACATCTGAGCCAGGTGTTAACAGCAAAGAAGTTCAACATGAGATCAGAGGGGAGTACGTGCAAAGGTACAGAAACAAGGAAAGATGAGCTAGAGTAAAGTTGTGTCAATGTAAGTAAAAAAAACTGTATGTACTTTACTCAAGTGCTGTGCATATAATTTGTAACATAGATTTCTTCACATCAGAGTAAAATAATTCTTATTCACTGTGTGGTGTTTCCATATACTTGCCTACAGTTTGCACTTTGCACAGAAAGGATTGTTGAGCAAAATGGCATAATCTTGTAAGTCTCCCTGACAAAGCCCCTCCTGATGCCACGAATCAATCTTCCCCAAGTCAGACCTAAAAGTTCTTAGTTTACAACTCTCTTATACACTTATGTATTATATAATAGTATTTGTATATGTATCACTTTCCCCATTAGATTCCACCTAGTAAGACACTTGGGATTTCCCCTAGTGTCTAACACAGCACACAAAGTAGGCTCTTAATAAATGATTGTGGAACTGAACCAAAAAAACCACCTTTCTGTCATACCCTGAGTCTTATCACCCTGCTGATTTTTGGCAATAGAAGAGATGAAGCAAAGTATAAAGAACCTGAGAAGTAAGTACTGGGAACTGGAACTACTCCATAATTACTTTTCCTTTCCACCAGAAAACAATGAGAACATATATGCTTATTTTCATGGTGAGCTCACCTAACAAGTCCATCTTATTTTCCTCTATTAAGCGATTGACCAGACCATTGGCTCTCTCAATTGTGCAGACAGCAATATCCAAAGCAGAAAAACGGACAGCTGGGGAGCAGCTGCCCATGTAGCCTTCCACCAGCAATCCTACTTCCTGAAACAGGTTCTAAATAACCAAAGAAAATTACTGAATTACTTGAATTGCAATTTATGACATAAATTAAACAGTTTGTTCAAGCTCTTGCAAAAACAGAGATATTAAAACTTTGAAGGTCACTTACCACTGATATCCATCTTACAAACCAGAGCCTATTCGGTTCAACTCAGAATTATGTGCTAAAATATAGAAATTCTAGGGCTCAGTACATATTCTCCTTTAAGACAGGAAGAGGTATTCCACTATACTTTTAAGGATTCATGATTTCATTACAGTGGGTACTACCTCTAAGACAAAGATAGCCAGTTGCTGTAACTGGAGAAAAGTCATCACCTTGTATCCAACCATCTGGTAAATAAGTCCACTCCTGACTTATCTAAGCTAGTCCTAAGAGGACAGACCTGGCCCATACTTGAGGTGTTTCCAGCTTGCTAAGCTGTAACTGGACAGAGATGCTATTTATTGGCCCAGTCTTTAAAATACAGAATCGCATCTACTGGAAAATGAGACATCAAAGTAAGCAACAAAGCAATTTACAAAACAGGTCAGAAAACTTTCAAGTACTATTTTAATGACAATGATCAAAGCAATTCTAAGACTGCTGTCTTCAGAAATCAAAAATATAGGAACACTGCCTTAAACTATAGTATTATTATTCCCCAAACCAAGCAAAATCATGCCTATAGTTTCAATATAATGTGAGAAGAAAATAATTTGTTCAAGGAATTTAAACTCTCCCATTGTTTCAATCATAAACTAATTCTCATAACTTTACACAGTGTCCCAAAAGTTTTAGTGCAGTTTTGAGTTATTATATAAAATTAATGAAAAAGCAAAATCTATCCATTGTAGCAGACTTTGAAGTTACCTTTAATGCAGAGTGTCCATAACAAGGATGCTTTCATCATTTTCTTAACTTTGGACTTTCCACTTATTTGAGAGAATTCTGTTTAAGTAACTAGCACGTAAGCCTAGACTTGTTGATTCTTTTACCTCCGAAATAACTATTTAAAGGTGTTATGGTCTATGAAGCATGACTTAAAGCTTGAAGACTACCTCAGTAGAAATGTCATGTACAAAGTCTGGGATCAGATTTATTTTCTCTCTCACACACACACACATACCCATGTCTGGCCAATATGTGAGCAGTGAATTCCTGTTTGAGACGGTGGATGATGCAAAAAAAAAAACATTGTTTCTCTGTCTTAAATATAAACTATGTCCTATTAATTAGCAACAGTAAAATTGGTTAATTTATATATGTGCCCTAGCCTGCCAACCAGAACGAAGTACGATTCAGTAAATAAGCATTTATTAAGTGCCTAGTATACAATGGGCACTGTGCTAGGCACTGGAGGACACAAAGACAAAAACAAAACAATTCCTGCCTTCAGGGAGTTTACATTCTCCTGCGGGTGTTAGACATGAAAACATACACAGATAAGTGGATATAAAATGTAGCCCAAATACACGTAATGCCTACAAACCTGGGGCATCAAATGCTCAGTGGGTTTTCCATCTTCCTTTTCAAGAATATACTCAGGAACCCTACAATTCCCATAGCTCCTTACCTTAAAAAAGAAAGAAGCACTTACCTGTTACTTTTTTCCTGCCTACAAACATTCCCAGGTCTCCTTATCCTTTAAAAAAAAAAAACCTTCACACTACTGGCATCCCTTCACACTATGATTATATCTCTCTCTTGCCTTTCAGAGCTAAATTCACAGAAAAAGACTGTCTATACCCAATGGTTCTACTTTCACACTTCCCATTTTTTCCCACACCTTAAAATCTGTCTTCCAACCCTACCAACTGACTGAACCTGCTGTCTCCAAGGTTACAAATGGTCTCTTAACTGCAAATTTCACAGACATTTCTCAGTCCTCATCCTACTTGACCTCCCTATAGCTTTTGACATTGTTGTACCCCTCCCCCCATCCTGATACTCTCTGCAGGTTTTCCTCCTCTCTGTTCTCCTCGTTCCCAGTCTTCACTGAAATATCATTCATGTCCCAGCCTCTAACTTTGTTTATCCTGCAAATCTCTGTCCTAGGCTTTCTTTTCTTTACACAGACCCTCTCTCTGATCTCATCAGCTCCCATCAGTTCAATTATCATGTCCATGTAAATGATTCCCAAATATATGACACCCAATCCTGACCCCTAGTGCCATATCACCAAACTGTCTACTAGATACCTCTTTGTCAATAACTCATAAACATTCAAAACAAAAGTCTTTCTTTTACTGTCTAAAAACATGATCCTTCTCCAAGCTTCCCTATTTTAAATTATGACACCATCATCCTTCCAGTCATTCCATTTAGCAAACTTGGAGTAATCTTCAATTCATTCCATTCCCTCAGCCCTCAGAGACAATCATCAAGCCTTGCCAATCCTGCCTCAAGAATATCTCTTGCATCCACTACCTTCTCTTCTCTATTCATTGGTTAACCACTTCCATGGAGCTACCTAAATAATATTCCCTTTAAGCATAGTTAATTAACCATGACACTTCACTGCTCAAAATCTTCAGTGGATCCCTGTTACCTGTAAGATAAAACATGAACTCCCTTGATTATAATTTAACACCCTTCACAATCTGGCTCTCACCTACCTTCCCTGTCTTATTTTATACTACTCCCTTTAATGAATGCTACATTCTAATCAAAGCAGACTATAATAGCCATTTCTGAAATTCAAAATTTGATCTCCCACATCTGTACATAAATCATTCTCGTACCTGGAATGCACTTCCACTCACCTCCTTATAATATCTTTAGCTTGCTTCAAGGATCAACTCAGGTACATAGGCAAAGTCTTTTCTGATCTTCCAGTTATCAGTACTCTATCCTTCAAATTACATCGTATCATTTATGTATACATGATATAGTCCCTCCCCCAAAAGAATATAAAGGCATTTGAGGGCAGGTACTATTTCATTTTTGTCTCTGTATCCCCAGCATTTAGTACTAGTACCTAGCAAATAGTAAACATTTAATAAGTATTTGTTGAACTTAACTTACATAATTCTTTTGAAATTCCCTCTTTTAAATGGTGACAGTCTAAAGGTATAATGTTATTATCATAAAATACTCATCTATTCACCTATTTCTGGAACTCAAAAAAAGCTTAAAGTCAAGCTTCTAACAGTATACTTTCCATTAATTTCAGTCAGAGTATAAGTAATCTTAACTGTATGATTATTTTAGACTTACCTGAAGGTAATATTTTTTCTCTTTAGCCACTGAAACAAATGGCAGAATGAATAAAGCTTTCTTACGAATTTCCAAAACCCTCTTCAGAATCAGTAATTCAGCAACAAGGGTCTTTCCAGCACTTGTTGGAGCTAAAACAGCATGATTATTTTAAAAGTCATCACAAAATAAGCAGCATTTAATACTTTTATTACACTTATCTGAAGCAAACCTTTAATAACTCATCAGACTAAGGCTAGCATCAGTAAATTTAAGACAGTAACTTGAAACAATATGCTGAAATACTACTGATGATGAGCTAAGCATATGAAACCAAAAAAAGAAAAACCATGTACTAACATATAATAAATAATAAGAATACAGATATCTATCTATCAAAAGTATACTTTGGGCCTGGCAACTGACTAAAACACATTTTAAGACTGTAAAATATTTTATGTATAGTAAATTTAAGTTATTCATTTTCAGGCCACCATTGAAATGGTTAAATGAATCCCAGCTCCAAAAAAGGAAAACTGCTATCAAATAATTTCCCATAGCTACATAATAATTCATTAGAAGATAATTATATCTCCTCTGAACATGTGTTTGAGAAAACACTCCAGCCTACAGCTACTTAACATACTATTTTACATATCGCTAACATCTTTAAAATAAGTTAGACAGGGGGCAGCTACGTGGCGCAGTGGATAGAGCACCAGCCCTGAAGTCAGGAGGACATGAGTTCAAATCCGGCCTCAGACCAGGCACTTGACACTTACTAGCTGTGTGAGGTTGGGCAAGTCACTTAACCCCAACTGCCTTAAAAAAAAAAAACTAAAATAAGTTAGACAGCAGTTATAGAAATCTGAGTACCTGAATAGACTAAGTTCCTTCCTTCCAGGACCTGCCCAAGCAAGAGACATTCTGCTTGCCATTCAAACATCTGAACTACACCAAAACTTTGATATTTCTCCAGAACTGCTTTGGGAAGCCCCCAGCTTGCCAGGAGTAATTTGTCTGTTTGGTTATCAGGAATCACCACTTGCTTGCATGGGCCTTTTGGGGGGGGAAAAAAAACAGTGATGAATGATGGAACAGAAGTTTCAAAGACATAGACTGTTAGAGTTCAAAGGAGTTCAGGCTTTTCAACAGTGCCACATCTGGACCAGAACACTAATTCCCTGTCTAGTGCTCTTCAATTCTTCTTATTGTGGTTGAGGATAACAAGAGACACATTTCTGAGAAATATAAAAGAAGACAGTGTCATGTGAAAGAGAAAGAAATTTGGAACCAGAGGATCTGCCTTCAAATCCTAGCTCTGATACTTACTACTCATGTGATATTGAGTAAGTCAGTTTCCTGGCCTCTAAATTAGGAGGTTGGATTAAATGACTTCTAAGTTCTCTTCTAGTTCTAGCATGTTAGTATCACAGATTTAGAATGAAGTGAGGCCTTACAGATCAATTACTCCAAAATTGGAGTTTCTCTAGCATTTATTTGTATTATATTATTCAGTATTGAACTATCTTACATATATTTATGTTTATTAACTTTATGTTTATGCTGTATATATATATACATATATATATATATTATACACAATTATTAATCCTCCCCCATTATACAAATTCATTGGGAGCAAGGATTGTTTCTGTTCTTTGTACCTGTATCCCCAGGGCCAACCAAAGTGCCTGGAACAAAGCCGGGATGATGAATAGGCTTGGGTAAATTTTATAAAAAGAAAGGCCAAAGAACTAGAATGTTTAGCCTGGAAAAGAGAATACTTAGGTGGTAAGTACATACTAACCCCGAAGAATGGACATGTTGACCAGGAAGAATGGACTTGTTCTTTCTGGCCAGAGAAGTCAGTACTGGGAGCCATAGATGGAAGTTATAAAGAGGTGAATTTCAGCTTCGTGCTAGGAAAAGCTTGTAAACAATTACGACCTGTCCCAAAGTGATATGAGCTGCCTCTACAGCTAGTATCTTCTCCCTAATTATCTCCTTCAAGCAGAGGCTGGAGTACCACTTTCAGATTATGTCTATAGTGGGGATGCTTTCTTGAGTATGGGTTGGACTTGCTGGAAGGGGTTGAGGCCCTTCCCAACTTTAGGATATTGGAAATGTTAGGACCTGAGAAACAAAACAAACAGAAAAGTTAACTGGCAGGCAGTTTGGAGTTATGGACTTGGGGTTAGGGAAGACCTGAGTTCCTGTCTCAGATGCTAGCTGTGACCCTAGGCAAGTTACTTAATTTCTCAGTTTCCGAATGTGTAAAATAGCAATCACAATAGCACCTGGTCATAGGGTTGTCCTGAGGATCCAACGAGTTCTGCAAACCTTAAAACATTACATAAATGCCAGCTATTATTGCTATTATTAAGTAGTCACTCCCAGAGGAAGTGGCAGAGCCAAGATGCAAACTCAGGGCCTCTCTCTGCTCCAGATGCAGCACATTTTCCTGTGTATCACTGCTGTGCTTATGTTTTCCCATCCATAAAAAATGGATCTGGCAATTTTGCAGTACACTATGAATTCTTAATTCTCAGAATAATGTTTTTCGATTCATCAAATAAAAATAAGTATTAGAGTGAAGCAAGCAGAGCCAAGAAAACAATGAACACAATGACAAGTTAAGGAAGAACTTTGAAACAATAAAAAGTGAATGTTTCAAAATTACAAAGAACAAGCCTGGCCTTAAAAAAGAGATAAGAAAAGACACCGTTCCACTCCTTTGCAAAGGTGGGAGGTCCAAGGTTGTGGAACACTGCACATATTTTGAGATTTTTTTCAGTGTATGGAACAGTTTTGCTGATTTTTTTTCTTCCCCCTTTTTTTATCCTTTAAAAATGTTCTTAGTGGGGCAGCTAGGTGCCACAGTGGATAGAGTACCAGCCCTGAAGTCAGGAGGACCTGAGTTCAAATCCAGCCTCAGACCAAACACCTGACACTGACTAGCTGTCTGACCCTGGGCAAGTCACTTAACACCACTTGCCTAAAAAAAAATGCTCTTAGTTATATGTAATTGCTCTATGAGAAGGGATTGGAGAAAGGATAGGGGGAGAAATTTGGGCTATGTAAAGACAAATAAAAAATATTTTTCAAAAATGTGAATTTTGCAGAATACAATGAACACACATGCCCCAAAGAAGAGAAAGGAGAAGCCACTCCCACTCTTCCCCCATTGCTACTTTGCAGGGGTAGCAGGCTTTGGGGTGTGGAACACTGCATGTATTTTTAATATTTCTGTCTAATCAGTTTTGCTGACTTTTTTTCTTTTCTTTTGAAAAAAACTCATATAGCAGTTCCTTCTGTGGGGAAAAGAAATGGAAATTAGGATATGCCCATCAGTTGGGTAATAGCTGAACAACTTATGGTATATGAATGTGATGGAACACCATTCTGCTATAAGAAATAATGCAGGGGATGGTTTCAGAAAAAACTTGGGAAGACTTATATGAGCTGATGCAAAATGAAGTGAGTGGAACGAGGAAAACAATTTAGGCAATATAACAGCAATACTGTAAAAATAAGCAACTTTGAAAAACTTAAAAATTCTGATCAACACTATCACCTACCACAATGCCAAAGGACTCATGATGAAAAATGCTATCTACCTTCTGAGAGAACTGACAGTGTATAAACTGAAGGATATTTTTTTCTTTTTCTTCCCCTCTCCCTACCATGGCTAATGCATTAAAATGTTTTGTATGACTTCATATTTGTAATGAATTTTGTATTTATTGCCTTTCCCAACTGCTGAGGGAGAGAATCTGGAACTAAAAATTAAATTAAATATATACATTTTTTTTTCATTTTAGCTATATAGCTGGGAGTGAGGGCCACTGGTAGGGATACTGGGAGAAATTTAAACATATAAAGTGTATTTTAAAAAATAAAACGGGGAGGCAGGTAGGTGGCCCAGTGGATAAGAGCACTGGCCCTGGAGTCAGGAGGCCCTGAGTTCAAATTTCACCTCAGACACATAACACTCACTAGCTGTGTGACTCTGGGCAAGTCACTTAACTCCAATTGCCTCACCCAAAAAAAATAAAATAAAATAAAATGCATAGGATTACAAAGGAATTCAATTCCATTGAACACAGTCAAGTTAACAAGTGCTTGCTACGTTCCAAGCATTGTGATAATCATTTGGGAAAGGAGGAAAGACAACCCAGTTATTAGTGTCTGCGGTTTTGTTTTTTTTTTTAAATAAGTGGGGTGAAAAAGACGGGGGGGGATAACAAAGTGGGGAAGGAGAGGGGGGAAAGAGAGGTGAAGAAGGAAGAGAGAGTGAAGGGAAGAAAAAGAAGGGGAGAGGGGAAGAGAAAAGGGAGAATAGAGAGGGGGAAGAGAGAGAAAGAGGGTGAGGGAAGGAAAGGGGGAGGAGACAGGGGGAAAGAAGAGGGAAGAGACAGAGAAAGAGAAAAGGGGGAGGAAGTGGGGGAAGAAGGGGGAAGAGAAAAAAGGGGGGAACAGAGAGGAGGAAGTAGAGAAGGGAGAGGAGGAGATAGAGAAATAGAGAGAGGAGGAAAACAGGGAGAAAGAGAAAGGGAGAGGGAGTGGGAGAAGAGGGGAGACAGAGAGAAGGGGAAAGAAAGAAGGGGAGGGTGGGGGAGAGAGACTCAGTCTCATAGAGGGAGAAAAAGGAGAGAAAGGAGGGGAAAGAGGAGAGGAGAGAGCGAGTGTCAGAAAAGACCTTGCACGTGCGTGTGACTGACATCCCGGGAGGAGCCGGCAAGCAGAGAACAGTAACTGACATCCGAGGGGCTGGACACGCGCCTGACCCTCAGGCCGCTCCGCCCCCGCCCTCCCTGCACCGCCCCGGGCCCCGGCCGCGCTACCTGGCGAGCCGAGGCTTCTCCTCCGCAGGCTACTCGCCAGGCCTGGGGGCGGGCTCAGCACGGGCACCACGGGTTCCCGCGGACTGACCCCAACACCTTCGCTTCCTCTGTCCCTTCTCCTGCCGCCGCTGCTGCTACCACGTCCCAAGAAAGAGTCCGAGCCGGGCGACGACGAGCGCCGCCGCTTCCCACTCCGACTCGTGAGCTTCATCGTCCCGGCTCCTCGTCAGCTCCGTGCCGGCTGCAGGAAAAGAAGCTGACCGCTCCCGTATTCGGGCGCGGTGGCCGCCATCTTCCCGCCAGCGGTTTCAAATCCAGGCCTCCCAGCCGGCCCCGGAACCATAGAGTTCAGCGGACGGAGTAACCTGAGACCATAGAGGAGAAGCTCTTTTTGACTTGGGAGAGGACGAGAAGAGGTGGCTAGAACGGCCTCGGAGCATGGCTTTGCTTCACTGATGCCTGAGCGCCTCATTTCGCTTCTCTGACGTTACGTGAGTCCAGGGCTGGACCTGCAGTCTGGACACCTAAATTCAAATCCGATTTTGGACACCAGCTGACTCTAGACAAGTCTTAACCGTCTCGGTTTCCTACTTGACCAAATGCCGTTGCACTTACCCCCAGGGTTGTTGTGAAGATAAAATTCTTGTGTAGCACTTTGCAAACCATAAAACGCTATTTAAAAGGTAGCTATTGTCATTACCTTATTCAGCCCCCTGAGCTGATTTGCTGAGACTAGCTCTGCTGCGTTTGGAGAGCTGTGCAAGTAGGTCCCTTAACCTCTCTAGCTGCCTCAGTTTCTTCATCTGTGAATAAGCGCCTACTGTGTGCCAGGCCTATGCCTAGTGTTGTGGATACAAAAAGAGTGAAAAGACAGTACCTGCCTTTAAGAAGCTTAAAATCTAACGGGAGAGACAACATACAAACAAATATATACAACGTGAGAAATATACAAGACAAATGGGAAATAATTAAAACAAGACGCTGGAAAGGGGTTGGGGAAGGCTTCCTGTCGAAGGTGGGATTTTAGTTGGGACTTAAGATCATAGTCCCCCAGGTCTCTTCAAAAGGCCTCGGGGCCGCTCTCTAGCCCCCTTTTCTCAGTTGAAACTTGGTTTGTCTTTAAAAGTTAGAGAGTGTGAAAAGCAGCTTGCTTCAGGCTTGTCATTATCATAATTGCCCCCAGGAAAAACCAGTGACTAATCCCAGCCCTCCCAGTCCAGCTCCCTACTTTCCCTTAGGAAGCACAGAAGAGTTAAAGACCTCTGAATAACTTTTTATCACAGTAACAAAGGGCTTCTCAGTTGAGCTGATGAGACTCAAATGAGCCTCAGCCCAAGGAAATTGCGGGATGTTTAATCAAATTGAGAAAGTTTTTCTTTGTCTCCTCTCTGTATACTTAATAGAGGTGTAGATCCCTGGATTTGAAGTTAGATTACTCAAAATCTAATCTTGATCCTTCTTACTACGTGTATGACCTTGGGAAAAATCACTTCATAATTTCTATAGCTCCTTAAAGTCTCCAGAATACTTTCCTCAACACAGCACCAAATAGTGCAAGAATTATTATCCCTATTTTACAGCTGAGGGAAATAAGGCGCTGAGAAGTGAGTTGCCCATGATTCCATAGCCAGTAAGCCTCAGTTTTCCTGTCTGTAACTAACTGGGACATGCATCTTTAGATTGGGACAAGGTTACCCTAATGAAAAGGAGGAGGAGAACTGGCTGGACTGCTTTGGGAAAACTGCAAAGCTTTTTTACTGACCCCTACCTTCCCATGCAGTTAAAGGCCTGTCTTTTCAGCACAAGCAGTTTATTGTTGTTGCCCTACGCACTACTACCACTGAAGAACTAAAGATTAGTATCACCCAGAGCAGGATGGAGAGGCAGTGGTGGGTGTGAACAGGCTACAAATGCATAACCAAGAAATAACTCTTAAGAGTATTGGATGACATTAAGGAACTGTCACACAGGAAGAGAAGACGATTCTCTCAGGAGTAAAGGATGCCAGAGTTCTCCAATAGCTCGCTATGAAACAGGCCTCCAGTGCATTCAGGGGACATTTTGTGGTAGACTTTTGGAAGAACCTAAGAGTTATACTGGATAGGGAGGCATTGATGGGTTGCATTGTCGGAAGGAACTCCCAAATAGATGGAATTATAGATCTATTTGAGTATTCCCCAGTGCCTAGCACTGTGCTTGGCACGTAGTGTATGATAAATTCTTACTGACATTCATTTTAAAAAATTTTATACACTGGTTATATACAAGGTAGTTATGAGAGTACCTTTTGCTCACCTTACTAGAAGTGTCTCCATTTCCTGCCTCACTGGCTCAGGATAAATCTAATCTAGTTTATTTATCACCCCCTTCCACCAGTGTCCAAGCAATGTGCTTCCTGTTCAGTATTCCTATTTTCCTTGTCTTTTGGGTGTTCCAAAAGGTCTCAAGGTTTTGAATTTTTTTTCCCCCATTTGCCAGTTCTTAGCACACAGTAAGTGCTTAATGAATGCTTAGTAACAGACTGACTTCTGCCTCTCAACTTCTGGGACAGCCGGTCATATAACTGGGGTCTACTCATTTGAAGAAGCAAGAGTGAGGGCGAGAGGAGCTGGCCAGTGTTGTCTATGACTCAGATGGATATTCAAATGGATTTATGACTGCAATTTTTTTGTTTTTGCTAATTGTCCCACTAGATGAGCTGTCCTGGTGTGATATTGACCAACTACCCTAGTAGGTGTGAATTCCCAGGCCTAAAGTGTAGCAGCTAGGTGGTGCAATGGATAGAGTGCCAGGCCTGGAGTCAATAAGACTAATGTTCCCAAGTTCAAATTTGTTCTCAAACACTTACTTAGTAGCTGTGTGACCCTGGGCAAGTCACTTAACACTGTTCACTTCAGTTTCCTCACCTGTCAAATGAGCTGGAGAAGGAAACGGCAAACTACTCCAGTATCTTTGCCAAGAAAACTCCAAATGGGGTGACAAAAAGTCAGACACAACTGAAAAATGACTGAACAACATTGTAGAAGTCTAGAGGACAGGGGCATGTCATCTTTGTATTTCCCTTTGCACCTATGTCCCAGGGCCTTTGACTGAGGAGGCATTCAGTAAATATAAATTGAATGGGGGCAGCTAGGTGGTGCAGTGGATAGAGCTCTGGCATTGGAGTCAGGAGGACTGAGTTCAAATCCAGCCTCAGACACTTGACACTTAACTAGCTGTGTGACCTTGGGCAAGTCACTTAACCTTGATTACCTAGCCTCCCAAAAAATACACACACACACACACACACACACACACGTGTGTGTGTGTGTGTATATACGTATGTATATGTATATGTATATGTATATGTATATGTATATGTATATGTATATGTATATGTATATGTATATGTATGTATAACGAATGAACAGGAAATAGATTTGTACAAGAAAGGCAGTTTAATAAAATGCAATGAGAAGTGTTTCCTTCTAGTAGTGATACAGTCCATTCTATTCACAAAGATCTACATGCCTATAATTGAGTACAACTCAGCATCTAGGGGAGAGTAAACAAATGTCACACAGCAAAACTGGATACTAACAGAAATGTGGTTAACGTTAGCCATCTGCTGAAATAACTGGCCACACCCCGCCCAAAAAAAAAAATGTGTAAAGATAGTGCTAATAAGATTAGGGTATCTCTTGACACTAATAAAAATGTAACTAATATAAAACCAATCAGTATCCTGAAAATTACATTTGTCATGAACACATAACAGAGGCAGTGGTCTGCATGTAGACTATTAATAGGAATCTTTACTTAAGAATGTCACTGTTTGTTCAGTTCTATCCAAGGCAGACTTTAGTGGACTGGGATTTATTCTCTACCCAGCTCAGAGAAATACCCCCAAATAGACCCTCATTTTTTCCCCTAAAAAACATTTGGTGATACTCTGCTTATTTTTTTTTTGTCAATCTTGAAATTATTTGTTTAAAAATTCCTTTAAGAGCTTAAGATGAAGGGAAAATTTATTTTTCAGCTCGTAGTGGTTAACTCATATTGGAATGCAGTGCTGGGTAAAATGCCAAACCAAGCGAAACTTCAAGCTTAGCAGTGCACACAATGCTGAACTCAAACTGACTGCTAATTTGTGTCTGCTGGCTGCTAAAAGAAATTGGTGACAGTATGTTAGACATTTTGTAAGGGTTATCTGAATTAGTTTTGACATATACTCCTCATCCCATGGCTCCACATGCTTCTAAACTTCACACCAGGTACAAGGTTTTCACCAGCAAAAATGTGAATTTTGATCACTATGTTAATGCATCAATTGTTTGCAAGCACACTGGGTGTTCAGAGCCAAATGATTAATAATAATAGAAATATATAGAAATAAATAATAGAATAAATAATAGAAATAATCATTTAGTTTTACTTTTTTGGGGGTTTTTTTAATTCCACCATTTCAACACAGTGCCTGGCACATAAACACAAGGGAATGAACAAATGACTGCTTTAAGATGTACCAACTTCTTTCCCTGCAATAACCTGTTACCTTCAGGTTAAAAATAGGTAAAGTTTAAACTGAGGGACAAATCCAAGATCCATCCCATTCTTGCCAAAACCCGAAAGAGATGTCAAAGATCTACTATAGTGATTATGATCTGATAAAAACAGATGAGCGATCTCCCCATGTATCCAGGGTCTAGATGACATCAGTCAGTCAATAACAAGCATTTATTAAGACTTACTGTATGCTGGGCACCATGCTAAGCCCAGGGATACTTAAAAAAAAAAAGACAAAAGACAGTTCTTCTTTCAAGGAGCTCACAGTCTAATGGGAGAGATAATCTGCAAACAACTATGCAACTATGTACAAACAATATAGATAGCTGATAGATAAATAGATAAATGATAAATTAGATAATCAACAGAGGGAAGGTGCTAGCATTAAGGGAGATCAGGAAAGGCTTCTTGTTAAAGGTGAGATTTATCTGGGACTTCAAAAAAGCCAGGAAGTGGAGATGAGGAACTCAAGGGTCACCAGAGCTAGTCAGCAATAGGTGTAGAAGTATATAATAAACCCTATAGCTGGATAGTGATCTAAAGTAGGCAAGACAGCTAGAGTGAGATCTGGGACCAGGGGCTTTCCTTGCAGCTCAGGATCATGGTGGATAAAGATTAAGATCCAGCTGATAATGTTGGTCCATGAACCAGTGGAAAAATATCAAGAAAATATAGACACTACCATCTAAGTTTCCTAGTGTCAGAATGTGTACCCCTCCGTGTGGTTCCCCACTCTGAAGTAAGAGTGAATAAGATATTCTTTGGAAACAACTGAAGAACACAGCAATACTGTCTCA